TCTTAATTGGGAGTCAAATTTTTAACATAATACTAAGGTAGCAGCAATTCATATTACAAATTTAAAATTTATCATCACCGTTGTTGAATGTGATCGAATGATTTTTATTTCTATACCTTTATTATAAACTAGAATAGTGTGGTCGCTTAATATTGTAGCATAACTTGAACAACAACCAAATGAATTGAAAAACTTGTATGACATATTAAATAATTATAATGATTAGTTGAGAGATGCAAATCAAGAACCACCCTTTATATAGTCCAAGATATTTATAATTAACTATTCAAATTTTTACAAGTTATAACTATCTAAAGTTTAAAAGTACTCTGTATTCTATATCTAGAAACACTAGTTTCTGGAAGAAGAAAAAAAAAAACAAAGAAGATGCTAATGAAATTATAATCCATTCAAAAAATAATTATTTGAAGGGTGATGATATTTGTAACTTTTTTTTTTTTTTTTTTTTTTGGGTCAGGCATACATGTGCTACAGCAAAAGGCCCAATAGAGACAGAAAGCCCACACAACCAGTAACAATACTTAGAGCGAAGGTCCAACTACAGAAGCCCATGTGAGATAAAGCCCAAGAACTAGAAGCGTCGCCTAGACTCAGCTCCGCACCAGCTTGGTCCCTACGCCAAAGAAACACCGTCAGCATGACGCAAGAGGAATCAATCATCACCGGAAAATGCCGTAATGGGAGGACACCGGGAAATCGATTCTCCGTCCCCGACGACCAAGAGAAAGAAATATCCATCAAAGGGATTTGAAAAGTAAAGGCATGGCTATAAGAAATCCAGTGAGTAGCCCATGTTTCCTTGAAGGAATTATTCAGATGGCCCATGTTTCCCAATACCAACGTTTATGTTAATAATTTGAATTTAGTTTCTTAACATTGGTCATATATATTGCAGAATTTATTAACGTTCATCAATAATAATTGAATATTAAAAAGAGAAAGAAGGTAGATTAAATGAGTCCAACAAAGAGGAAGAGTGTGAATACTCTAAATGTGTAAACAAACAGAAAATTAACTTTTCATTCTTAATAATAAAAATTAAATTTTCATCCTTAATAATAAATTAGTTGAAACTATTGTGGGCTAAATAAATAGGGGTATACATAATGAATAGGTATGTAATACTATTCAATTAGTGATTCACAATTATTGTTTGCATATCTAATTTTCGACATTATTTATAAAATAATTGTTCTCGTTTACAAACTTGTGTTTTCATTGTTTAGAGAATAAGAAAGTTATGACTCTTCAAACATGAGAATGTGGATTTTCAATCTTGGACACTAAAAACGTTTTGCTATAGAACACTTTTTAATGAAAACAACCACCACGGGCACCAAACAGAGCCTAAGTAATGGTCATTTATAATCATGCTTGAATCCTGCAATTCTCTTCATTTGAATACAGATAATAACTTCATTGTGACAAAGCTAGAAATTTGATCACTACAATTGTCACACACACACACACATATATATTCATTAAAGTTTAAGTAATTAAATGCACACGTACCCACAAAATTATACTAAGAGAGCTCGAACACTCGACATTTTCTCTAAATAAGACTGAACCAATGTCCACCTATTCATATAATATTTATACAAAGGGAGGCATTATGCTACTACTTTTAATAGCTATTTCACATAACTAAGGATGGCAACGGGACGATTTGGGACACCAACCCCATCCCGTTCTCATTGAATAGAGACTAGAGTGCCCCATTTCCTCTCAAATTTATTTTGTGTGCGTGTGTGTTTTTGAGGGCTTATGTGATATGATTTCTTAGGATTCTTTTTGTGTGACATTAGCAATAGGGGTCATGGAAAACTATGTCAATATATAGGCCACTCAAGAAGTTGAGAGTGGATTGTGGGGAAAGAGAGAAAAAGAGCAAAGCAGAGACCAAAGAATTGTCTGTCATGATACTGTGTTTTGGGTCAAGAAAACAATAATCCATTGGGAGATTTTGCAGTGTAGAAGTCAAAAATAATAAATAAATAAAATCATATATTATAATATGAAGAAAAAGAAAAAGAAAAGTGAAAGACCCCAAGTTAGTGGAAGTGACATGTGGGGCACCAAAGATTTATGTGTTTGAACCCATGACCAAAATGATCTGATGACTACTAGATAAAGTGTGTTCATGCGCATGCTGTTAAATTATGGTCATCATTCTATTGTACTATGTGTAAAATCACCATTGTAAATAAACCAAATGCAACACTAGCTGTGTTTTATCACAAAGTTGCCTCCAAAAAGAATGCATGAAACTCCACAAGTCATAATTAATGTTTTGCTTTTGGTAAAGAAAGGAACAATTGAAAACCTTACACATTAACAGATAGGACCCAAAGAAACTTCGTGGTTGTTTAGTACTTTGATTTTGTTTCTAAGCTCGAATCCCTCTTGTACCGATATTATATTATTACTGTTATATACTTTTTTACATATTACATCTGTTTTTCAACACGTTACATCTATTTTTCAATATAATAGTTTTCAACACATTATGCATGGCTGAAAAAAAATAGGTATAAAAATAGAGGTGATGGCGTTGAAAATATCTACAACACCACTATAACACCAAATTTTACAGTAGAGGATCCCGGCTCCACAGTATTACCTTTCTATGGCTCCATTTCAAAATCATGGAAACCACTTTCCTCACCTAGCCTTAACTCGTTTTTCTAAGACCCTCCAACGAGGAGTGAAAAGGATAGTTGCCTCGAAAGTCAATGGATTAGTGTTTCTCGTTCAAATTTCAACTCTTTAAATCTGTTAATATGACATATGACATTTCTTGCCTTAAAAATAAAAAATAAAAAATAAAAAATAAAAACCCAACTATTGGAAAGGTGACCTAGTAAAGCCCAAGGGGCGCATCCACTTTGTTAGCCCAAAGAAGGGGACAATTGAAAACCTAAAGTATTATAACATGTCAAAGTTGGGCCCAAGGAAGATTCATGGTTGGTGAGTGCTCTCTTTCCGTTTCTCTCACATCATTACCTTCCTTTTAGCCTTCCATGGTTCCCATAGTCCACTTCAAAACACTCTCTCTCCAAACCTCACTCGTGTAATCTATTACAACTGCAATGAGTACTAATGATTTCAGGCATTTGTTCAAGTGTCAAATCATTCTTCATTAATTTTTTTTCTTTTCTTTTTTTTTTTTTCTTTTTTTTTTTTTATTCAGAAAATTTAACCAAAGGCGCATACATTTGCAATATTATGCGTAGGAATTCATATTTTATTTGCTCAACGAAAATACGAATAGAGATCACACTAATGGGGAGATGAACTTGATACATTTAAGTGGAATCCAAATGAAGATGATGGAGAGCCCTATTCGGCTTCCCGTAATGCGGCTCCCCATTCAATACTCTCTCCTTTCAAGGGAGCATTTTGGTTTTTTATTCAATATTTCATAACAAACTCTACACCAAGTGTTTTTGGAATATTAAATAATATTTTATTAATAAATTTAATGGCTAGTTTGCTCGAGTTTGGTATGATTGTACCTGTAGAATTTTTTTGAAGGAAAATAGAGAGTATAATGTCTTTATTTTTATTGAGTTATGATAAACATGTCTACTGACGACAGTTTATTAAGACACAGGTCAACTGAGGCATTGCCTGTCGACAACTTTAGATTTTTTTTTTTTTTTTAAATTAATAAATTCATTCAAATGAAATTATGTCATTTTGACTTATAATTTCTTGAAAAGCCCTTTGTTGGCATTTTTTTTCTTCTTCTTCCTCCTGCACTTAAAAGACTTACATGACCTGAAATGAGAGCTTATTTATATGAGCAAAAGCTTCTAACCTTTATTTGAGACTCCATCATATGGATTTATATAATATGCGGGCTGCTTAATTCAATAATCTGAAATAAGATTTTCAGAAATAAAAACGGCTCTCAGACAATTAAAATAATAATAATAAAGAAAGTAAAGTTTTGAGCAATTCTTTTTGAATTTTTGTTGCTTGAGAGAAAAAAAACTTTCAAAAGACTAAATTAAACTCGTAAAATCTATAGCAAAATGTATCTGAATGAATAATAGAATGCGGTAAGAGGCTTGACATACCATTATTGATCCAAAAACAAAAATCATAAAATTTAAATAAATTTTCAACATTAATATTAAACTTGACCAATAAAATTTTAATGAGGGAAATGTGAACCCATATGCAATGCATGGCCATTTAATTTATTGTGGATGTAATTTTTTATGTTTATTTTAATGGGCATTTCCACCAAAATTCAAGGTCTAGGATTTCCAAGTACTAGTTCAACCTTACACGCTAAAAATTAAAAATAGCACGTTTTTAAGGTGTCAATAATGTTAAACCAAATAATAATAATAATTATAATAATTCTCTGAACGGTATCACCGTATCACTATATATACAAATTGGTAGGTAATAATAGGAAATTTTTTATCAACAACGGATATATATATATATATATATATATATATATATATATCTTTGGGAGGCTGTGAGATTTTCTCATAAAGGAGAATCACTTTGATCATCATAATAGTTCGTCATGTAAGCATCCTAGGTTTGTAAAATACATTTGATTGGTGAATAAAAGTCTCATGATTAAGGAGAGTAGCTGAGTTTGTTCTGAAAATGTTGTAAACTTTCCTTTATATGTTATGTTGGAGGTTGTTCCAGATTGTAATTTTTTTAATTATATTTTAATCTCTCATTGTCAGATAAAATAATAATAATAATAATAATAGAATTAAAATAGATTAATAAGCCAAATTTCTTAGATGTAAACTATTCTTTGAGTGATTTGAGAGTATTAATAAGCAACCACTAAATAAATAACCACTAAATAAAAAATATTTTTTTATATATATCGACCCAAACATACCCCTTATTTTTTAAGGGATGCAACAGCGAAAAAATAAACAAATGAAAGAAGATATAACAAACGACACTCCCAAAAACCCTACAACAACACTTACTTACAATGAAACACCTCACAAATTTTCAGTAACTAAAAATGAAATAATAATAAATATATATATAATCAATCTTATCAGCATCATCAATCACTGTTGTTTTTCATAATTGAAAGCTTCTAATCCCATGATGATTTGTGGTCTCTCTTGTTTCCTCCTCTCTCTTCCTCTTGGGCAGAGACAATGAAGATATGGCCTTCGCCGACACCACCTTCCTAACCAGTAACCTCCACCTTGCATCATCGCCTTTCTTCTTCTCTTGTTGCACTTTCAATTTGAATTGTCTGTTAACAGAGACAACAATTAAACTAAAACATTCGGAATAATAAAAAATGTCATGCAATAAAAAGGCATAGTCCTGACTCCCGCCATTACAGAATTTGAAAAGGGTCAGAGTCAAATAAAATGGTAGGGCAGATACAATTACACTAAAACCTAAGTATGCTGAGCAAGTACAACACATTCCGAATAACCGGAAATGTCATGCAATAAAAAGGGATAGTTTCGTGCACGAAACTCCCCCCATTGCAGAGTCTGAAAAGGACTATCGTCAAATAAAATGCTAGGGTAGATACAATTGGATATGCATGTAATAGAGTATCAAAAGTAAATTACTTTCATTAATACCACGTGATAAACATTTAAAAATAATAATTTCAACTAAGAAGCATGATTTCTGGCATTGACCCATTATGTCTATTAATGGGACAAAAAGAATGCCCGCTATATCCTACCTAAGATATCTCTGTGAGGCCCATGTAGTAGTGCATTTGTCATTCCTCACCATACAGAGTATCAGGAATATGAAATCAAAATTTGTGGGGTCCATCTAATTCAACATTTGACAACAATCTAACAGTAAAGGCTAAAGAGAGTGATTTCAATTTTACCTGCAAAGAGGAACTCTGCAGAGATCAGGCTGGTCGCAGATTGAAGAATGTAGTCGGAGGAGCTGCCACAATCGCTTGCATCTCGAGCACCCTCCGTTAACCCTCTTCTTACACGTGGCGAAATGGCGAATCAGAAGCTGGAGACCTTGACACGTGGAGAACTTGCTACATGGCTCCTTGTTCTTCTTTGGCTCCTTGTCATATGGTCCAACACTTGTGCACCCATCACTACATATGTGCTCTAAACACTCCATAGCTTCACTTAACTCGAGATACAAGCTCTGTTCCTCTCTGTGCCTTCTCGTTCTCTTCTTCCTCTGTTTTCAATCCATTTGTTAACATTAAGAAAAATATTTTGCCTAATAAGAACTATCAAAATTAATGTTTCGGCAGTAATTTCATATTAATAATTCATTTAGAGTTGTGTCAAGGACGGTGAAAGACCACAAGTGTTCAAACCTATACATTTATGAAATGGGATTCAAAGTGAGATCATGTAAATGTATGAAACTGAAATTGCACCTTAAGAGTCTAATCTTAAAGGTTTTCAAGTCACAAATTAACGACCACTTGTTCGGTTGATCCAAGCCTGGTTAACCCTTAATTCTGACCATTGATTGATGTCTAGAAGACCATGGCACTAAAGACCATTTTATCTAACGAATGAGCATGGACAATTGTTCTTTCCGTTATTAACTTTAATGCCATTATTTGGATGAGATGTGTTTTGTTTTATTTTGCAGTTATTACATAAATTCATCAATTGAAGCAAGTGTTGAACTAAAAATACTTTTTGTTAAGGAATGTACCGATTCATTTTCATCCATGAACTGTAGGATCTCCAGTTCAAGCCGAGGGTCGTGCTTTTGCAGGAACTTCCAACCTTCTGTTTTCTCGACGGCCTTGAAATTGTTAGAGAGCATCTTCATGCACTTGAGGTAAAGATCAGGAGCGTCGCAGAGCCTGGCGAGTTGAAGCACGTCCACCACATTCTCCATCATCAGCCGTTCAGCCAACCCTTTGGTGCACCTCTGCTTCAGAGGAGCTACCAAGAACACATGGGACAGAACCAGCAGATGAATCCCATACTTCTCCATCTCCTCCTCCGTGCACCTGCAACAAGGGCAATCTCGTCATTTCAATAATCATCCTACACTGCCTATTTGTTGAAATTGGATGCTAACTTGCAAACTGAGTCACTGAAAAGTAATGAGGTTATTGGTAATTTGGTAGTGTGTTAAATGACTCAAATTATCTTTCTCTTCAAAGTTGAAAGGTTATAGCTATCTCTTGATAATTGTTGACATCCCAATCCTCACTATAAATCAATCTTAATTTTTGAATTCAAAATCTAATTTTCCTTTATACATATTGTCTGGGTTATTTTATTTTAAGTGTCAATTTTTAAAAATAATAATAATAATTTGTAGTACTTAAGTTACAAGTATTATGATTTTTTCCTTGTATTAGTTCTATTTTATTGATACAAAAATCTTTTTAAACTGTTCTCATATGTATCTGTATTTATACTTCGGTTTCAAATATTGTTTGATCAGAATAGTCTTTTTGTACATAACATGCTCTCAAGTTCATATCTTCATTCTTACATTCAACACTACAAGGATAAGTTATCTAGAAGGACTGAATTGGCCAATGAAATCGGGTAGTTTTATGGTTAGATAATTTAGAATTGAGGGATTATGTCAAGTCTTAAGTGAAGGGTCAAAATTTTGATTATTCGTAAGTGAATAGTGTACATACATATATATATATATATATTATAGCATGTGTTTATAAATATATATGTATATAGAGAGAGAGAAAATTGGCGTGTGGAAAGTAACTGACTTGGAGGAGTAGATATAACGAACGAACACGGCAACGGCATCGCAAGGAACGCCGAGAATTGGAATGGTCTTCTCAGAGCTCCGGTGCTTCGCGGGCCGATCTATGATGCTCTCCAGTACCGGCGACGATGAGGCCTTCAAATTTTCCAGAACAATTATAAATCAGATCTTCTAAATCGAACAAGTCAAAAATAGTAGTACATCGAAATTGAGAATTTATATGTGAATTTCAGAACAATCAACAAAAACGCTAGATACAGAGCATTTTCGGTCACGTTCAAGAGCGAGTTTGAAAGCTAATGATGAACAGTCGACTTGTCGGAGATTCGACTCCAAATTAATGTGTGTATTGATTATATTAGCATTTTCAGCGCCTGAGAATCAAGTTGATTCAGAAGCAAAATGGAGAATTTGAAAATCAACATTTCTGCGATTGGAATTATTACGAAGAAAAGAGGAGAGATGAATTCCGAGGGAATACCAGGATGCTAGCGTGAGCCGGGATGCGAAGTCCGCCGGAGGTGACGATTTGAATATCAGCTTCGGGCATTTCGCCGGAAGATTGATCGACGTCGGCCTTCAACGATGAGTGTTCGCTCGAGCCATCGGAAAATTTGCCCGGTGACATTGTGTTGTCGTGTATTTTAGTGTATCCTAAATTGTGCGTGTGTGTGTGAGAGAGAGAGATATTTATACACACAGAGAGAGAGAGAGAGAGAGAGAGAGGTGTTTCTATGCGAGTCCTTGTGGGAGACCATTCAGGCTGTTGCTTTTATATAGCACGAGAAGTGAGGAGTCAGGAAAGACATACAGAGTCGAATGTTGTGCAACTTGTGCTACTCTACTACGCGCTTAGGTGGTGTTTAGAGAACACTCGCTATAATTTGAAATTATTTAAAAGATATAAAATAATTATAATAACTTTTCTTTTTAAAAAAAAAAATTAATTTATATATATTCTTTAAGATTATGCATGTCTCTATAAAGGAGAATTATTATATGGTCATCATCTTATTAAATTTTTGCTTACGTGTATTGTTGTGATTGGGTCAGACTGTAAAAAAAAATTCATCTATAAAGAAAATGCTTTGTTGCAATTTTATAATACAATATAATTAATTAAAAAGTATTCTCAAAATAGTTTTTTTTTTTTTCTATTGCTTATATAATCATATATAAAAAAGAATAAGAGAATAAAACTTAAACAAAGAGAGGCCCGCGTAGAATATATAGAGAGGAATGCACTGATTGTGGATAAACACATATATTGATTGTGGATAAACACGATTGTTAAGTGACCAAAGAACAAGATAAACATTTTTTTTTTTTTTTTTGTGGAACGAGTATAATAAATATAAAGTTATGAGAATATATAGAAATATGATCGGAAGAATCTCAATAATAATTTCATGAAGAATCTTTTGTAGGATGAGAAATTATGAGATGATCTTAAATTACTTACATTGAGTGGTCTAGTTAAATTCAAAATTTTCGATTAAAATAATAAGTGAATAGACAAAATTATAATAGTATTATAAAAAAAATTAAATATTAATTTTAATTAAATTAGACCATCAAGTCCTCGTCTACCACCATCTAATAATTTATTATCTCTTGCAAGATTAGGTTTTCTATTTTCTACCCTTTCTATAATTTCATGTAAATAAACCAATATGTCCTTAAATGAGAATGGCAGTACTCTTTCACCGCGCGTGGGAGCTGCCTCCGGATGTTTTGTCAATATAGATTTCCATTTTTACCCCTAAATTTTGACAACATTGCTTTGTGAGTCCTACCGAGTCAAGTGATGGATAAACCACATCGTCAGCAAAGCTAAGGCCATTAATAAGCGGCTTTTAGAGAACAGAACCGCCCTCACTCAGTCTGACGTGTAACTCGTTCTAAGCCATTTCCAGCTGTACACTGTCCCAACTTGTGCTACGGAGTATTAAAATCCCCACTGACTTTCAGGGGAGATATTATTATATTGTCTCACCATTCGCAGGACGATATATAAACGAAGAGTTAATTATCAATAGCATAAAATTAACATATTTATTTATGTGACAAATTTTTAAACGTTTCATTTATTTTTATATACTTTACCTCTTATTTAAATTTGACGTGGAACAAATAATCCCTTATTACAGAAGACCATTAAAATTTTTGTTGTATTGCAAGAGAAAGTTATAATCGGAACACACAACCGTTTACGTTTAAGAGCGTGAAATTTGACATTGTAAATTAGTATTAAATTTTCTTAAATTTGAAATTCAAGACACTAATTCTATGCTCTTATATATAGTCTAGATTCTTTATTGTCTACGTAAAATAATTCAGCATAATTAAATTTATTTATTTCAATCGGATTAATGTGTTGAAAAATTACTACCTTGTAAAATAGAATTAAATGTGTGAGAAAAATTACAGCATCCGTACAGCAGAGGATTTGGAAACTTCATTACTGGTACTCTAGTACTGCTGACGTAATAGCCTACGATGGTGCTGCAGTTTGCCTGATTAAATTTTAGAGAAACATTCTATAATAATTAGTAAGGCAGTCTTGTTCATATTTGACCTGGTCATGTATGCCACGGGTAGATGTTTCTAGGATGGTTCATGTTAAGTTTTTTTTAACCTGGTCATATATGCCACGAGTAGGCGTTTCTAGGATGGTTCATGTTAAGTTTTTTTTTAACCTGGTCATATATGCCACGAGTAGATGTTTCTAGGATGGTTCATGTTAAGTTTTTTTGAGGTTGGTTTTAGTCAATTCAAAATAATTTTCTCACTTTTTGAAACTTTGAATGGGACAAACAAATTGACATGTTGGTCAATAGGGTGACAAGAAATGAAGATTTTACTAATTTACTATAATGATGGTTATTAATCATACTCGTTTTTTTTTTTTTTTTTTTTTGTTAATTAATTTGGAGTGTTCGGGATAGCACGAATTCTTAGGGTTTCTTAACAACCTGACTAATTTCTGAGGACTCAGAATAACCTCTTCATCCGGGTTGGGTAAGTCACTGCAATGATAATAGAGATTAGCCACAAAAAATACTCAACGGGACTCGAATTTCAGACTTTGGGCTTACTAAGCTCCAAAGTCTAGCGAGTAAATCGCTGAGCCATATCCGAAGTGAATTCGCAATTTATTATTGCTTACCCATATCATGACGGTTTTGTTCGAGAAAACACAAAACAGTAAAAAATAATAATAATAATAATAATAATAAAGTTGTTTTTCAGTGAGGCAGTAGTCAATTCAAAATTTTCTTCTTTTACATCTTTTTGAAACTTCACAAGGGCAAACTAATTTACGTGTTCGTCAATAGGGTGGCAAAAATGAAAATTTTACTATTTTACTATCTAGTAACCATGATTGTAAATAATAGTTTATAATTTTTATTTATTAAAATTATGACCATGATTATTCTTTTACCTTTATACACAAATTTTTAACACTTAAATTCTTTACAATTCTTTATACTAACAAAACGGAAAATTGTAATATAATAATATCTTATCTATCTCCTAATGTTAAATTTTAAAAATCAAAATTGAAATTATTTTCCTGAATAAGGTGAAAATTATAAAAAAATGAACTTGTAAGTTTCTTGTCATTGAAAAAAAAAACATATTCTTGTTACAAGACATGCCCATTCAAGAAAGAGTAAAATTATAATAGATTCACTGGGTTTCTACCCTAGATTGATAAGTGCATAATTTATACATAATTAACTTTCAAAATTAAATCTGTTAGTAGTTTATTTTAGGGTAAAGTACAGAGACACCCCCTGAGGTTTGCTTAAAGGACATCCAGATGAAAGTTACTCAATTTTGAGACAATAACACCCCCTTATAAAATTTGCAAGCCAAACAGAGCCTTAAAATATGTGAAAAATCAATTTTACCCCTCACTATTTTATTAATTTTAATTATAAAATATCAAAATAATTAAACGACCAAATTACCCTTTTTCATCTTTTTATATATATATTATATAACAACACAAGCACCGCGGGTGGACATTAGGGCTTCGGCGCTGGAGATGGAGAGGTTGAAGAGGGTGGCAGTGGCATTTTCTTGGGAGATTGGAGAGAGAGAGTAGAGGGTTTCGGCGATGTAGGGTATTGTGCCCTCGTCAGCGATCAGAGATCGACTTTTCCGGGTCGTGTTTGGAGATGAGACTAAGGTCGCAGAAAGCTTCGGTTCGAGTTTATTCCGATGCTGAGCTCAGCTTCGCTACCAGAGATCTCGCCGTTCGGCGTTTGACTTCTATTTGGAGCTTCTCTCTCCAAAGCTCGAGTTCTTCCCTTTTCTGAATCGTGTGTATATATATATATATATATATATATATATATATATTGATTCTGGGTTTTTCTTCTCTCCTCTTGGTGCTTTGTTACAGTTGAAAATATCTAAAATTCAAAGAATTAAGATGTATACTTTATCTTTTCGTTCTTACTGAGGATATTGATGCTGCTAAACCTTAGATTGAATACTCTTTGGCTCAAAGCCTGCAATTTTGATTTAAAACTGGTGCCTGGTTAAGGCAGCAAAGACATGGGCCATTAAGCAGTTCAAGAGCGAAAAACTGATTCTCGCCAGCCATTTCTTAAAGGTGCCCCTGCTAGAGCTATGTCTGATGGGTTTTGCTTCTCTCTCTAAAACAGAGAAGTTAGTTCTTCTACTTCGATTACTTTCTCTCTCTACATGTATCTATGCGTGTGTGTTTACAACTATGTGTGTATATGTATTTTGTGGTGTTCTTCTATGTTTTTGGTGGCATTGTTGCTGATGAAAAAAAGGTCAAAAATTTGTTGGAAAATTGAATTTGGGTGGTTGGTAAATTGATGATATTGTAGTGTGTGAAATGGGTTTGGATTGAGGAAGCCATGGATAAGGTCGTATACCGAAAACGATGCATATTTACATCAGCAAAGAGACTGTGAATTGGTAAAGTTTTTGAGCAAAGTAAGGCATGACCAGTTACATCAGCAAGCTTGCAACTGAGATCTGAGAAATGCCATGACCAATTAAGAAGTTGAATGAACAAGTACCAAACAGCAAAAGCAAAGTTGCAGTAGAAGAGAACCAACATCATCCACTGCATACTCACAAATTCACAATTAATACAAAGGGTAGCTAATTGTAGACCTCGCCTGTGCAAGTGTTAATGAAATTGAGAATGATGATGATGCGGAGGCGGCGGCGGCGGCGGTGGCTGAGGGGTGATGAAGATGTAGTGTGTGTGTCTATACATACACACACACATACAGAGAGAAAAGGGGAGAGGTTCTCTACACTAGGGGAGAGGTTCTCTTCACAGTCGGGTTTGGGTTAGGATTTGAGATGTGTTTGGGTTTGGGTTTGGGTTTGGGTTTGGGTTTAATCCAAGGGTATTTAAGGCAATTAAAATGTAAATTTTATATCAAAGGGTAATAAGGTCAATTCACCATCTTCAGGGCCTTTTTGTCCATTTTTTAAATTTGAAGGGGTGTCATTGTCCAAAAATTGACGAACTTTCACTTACATGGCCTTTCCCCAAACCTCAGGGGGTGTCTGTGTACTTTACCCTTTATTTTATATTATTTTATTTAATTCTTGTGTTTTTGTATATATATATATATATATGGGTAATTGACGATTTTTGTGAAATAGCCCAAGTCTAACAAATAAAGACGCACATGATTTATATTTAGGTTGAGAGGAAGCCCTAGTCA